TGGGCCCCCCCCCCCGCGGGGGGGCAAAAGGCCCCCCCCCCCCCCCCCCCCCCCAGCTCTAAGGGCTGAGATCGGGGTGGGGAGTTTCCTCCCCCACTGGGCCTCAGTGACTCACTGGCTCGGCCATACAGAGTGGGAATCATATCCCAGTCCAGAAGGACTCAGGGGCTGGCCCTGGGAGGGGAACTCCTTTCCCTCTCCCCCACCAGTGCATCAGTGACTTCTACTGTCCTGGCCTGGCTGCACAGGAGGAAAGGGAATTACCCTCATCCACCTCTGCAGCTGGGCAGAGCAGGGCTTGGGGAATACCAGGCCTGCTGAGGGAAACCCCCAGGAGCCTGGAGCTCCCCACATATGTGCAGATACCCAGCTTGGGAACAGCCAGGAATGGGGGACTATTCCCCCCTGCAGGAGGACAACAAGGGGTTGGGGGCATGCACCAGCCAGCCAATCAGGGATTGCCCAGTGATGGCCAGCAGCCTGGGAGGCTGCTCTAGTGCCCTCTTCCTTTTGGCCTGGGCCAGTGCAGGTCTCCACCTGCCTTCTCCCATCTCAAAAATAAACATCTGTTCTGTTTGTTATTGGTTCAATCTATGTAGTTTAGAGGAACCTATGCAGATTGAATCAGTTCTTCCTTGGGCTTCGACTGTATGTATTTAGCCTTTAACTTTCTGCTACTGCCACTCCCAGCATGGACACATTTGCTTTCACACAGTAACTCCCTAAAATCTTTAAGAACTAATTTATATGCGAGCTTGGAAATGTGAATCTTTGTGTTCTAATCTTAGTAGGGTCAGTAAGCTGGTCAATTGACTGCTCAAATATCGTCAACTGACTGGTTAATTAACAGTATATTTTTGACTGGTCAAAGATTATAGCAATTTTACAAAGGAACTACATTTTTTATGTAGTTTTCTTGACAGAAATATGACTTTTTATTTCTTTTTGATACGTTTCTTAATGGTAAATGTGCATTTTTTTCTGTGTATTATTTGGACCTATTGGCAATTTTTCACAATTTTTGACCAATATTTGACCAGTCAGTTGACCAAACTTTGACTGGTCAAATACCCTAAAGCTTAGTTTTGATACTTGTTCTCTGTATAACTTTCACCTTAGGTACAAGTCCGGATCTCCATACCATGGGAATGTAAGGGCTGACAGGTAGTGAGAAGCAGTACTCAAATGGTCTGCAGAACAGCGGGGTAGACAGAATGCAGACTGCATAAGGTAACTTCCTGGATTGTATATTGAGGAGAATAAGAAAAGGTGACAGTTCTCAAGGATCTGGAACCTCACAAATAGGAGAGGTTGGCCACAAGGAGGTAGGGACATATGAAGGTGGAAGGAGGCAAGCAGGTGGAGAAGATATGGAGACCTCCACATATTTTTCACTGAGCAGAGTGAAACCTATGGCCCATAGGTAATTACGATATTTTTCTCTAAACTATATTTGCAACAGTAGAAACATGGTGTGATATCTTCTCAAGATTCCACTCTGTGTTCACTGAATTTTGCCTTAGATTTAATAGCTGGAGCCTGAGTGCATCAGCTTAATATCTCTTCTCAATTAAAATTACCATTTGAGCTCATATTTCGAGAGGTGGATGCCTAGAAGCGAAGACTCTACAATGATACTCAAACAGGTATGACAGGAAATCCATTATGAATTGTAAATAGTGGAAGACACAGACCACTGAACCAGAAAGATATTTTGCTGAAACTGTTTCGTGTCATCTTTTTCTTCCTGAGCTGAAGCTCAATTCTTATCTTTTGGCAAAAATCATCTCATATTTTCCTTTCTTTTGAAACTTTAAAAAAATCTATCAACTGACACTAAAACAATTTCATGTAGTATACTAGAAGGGAAAACTTTAAAACCCACACAGTAAAGATATTAATTTGAATTCAGCCATACCATATTTTCCTTTTTGGGTCTCTGTTTAAAAA